CCTCCCGCCTACCTCCTCTAACTACTACTCAAAACAAGAGGCTCTGACGGAACACAGGTCCTAAAAACACTGAAAGATGCAACTATATGATCATGACGTAAAATCTGGGGGAGGAGAGAAAGCTAGGATGGGTATAATTGATATCCTGAACTGGGAGTGCCAGGCTCACCACCTTGGCCTCAGCAGTCACTAGCAGGAAGCCTTGGGGAAGGCAGGAGAAAGCTAGGATGAGTATAATTGATATCCTGAACTGGGCTCAGCAGTCACTAGCAGGAAGCCTTGGGGAAGGCCAGGGCTATCAGCAAATAACACCCTCCAGGCAACATGACCAGAAAATAAGTTGCCAAGAAAATACCCAAATAACCAAAGTAACACCTACCATCTTCTTATTCTCTCTCTAGGAGACAGATTCTGAAAGGCCAGAACTAGATCTATTCGTTAGTGTATCGACAAAGAAAGAAGAGGGCTAATGGCATCTGTGTTGGTGGAGATAATGAATTCAAGAAAAGCTTAGTATATAGCGGGTCTTGGGGGATAATGTCAAAATAGAAGAAGAGTCAAAAGCTATGGATGGCAACCAAACGGGCCTTCTCTGCAACTTGAGCATCTATCTGCCTCAATAGGCCCTTACCTCGCTGTCTTCCTCTTCCTCCTCCGCCTCATCTGACTCATCCTCACTGTCCTCAAAGAACTTGGACTTAGCAACTCGAGGCAGCTTGTCGGAGGCTGAAGAGCAGGAAGGCCCAGCCTCACCAGTGGGAGTGCCAGGCTCACCACCTTGGCCTGCCTCTGTCCCACGTTCCGAGTTGGAGGAAAGGCCTGTGTGGGCCTTGGCTGTGGGGCCATTTTCCTCTGAAGAAGATTCCCTAGACGGGTCCTCAGATCCTGCCTCCCCATTGAGGCCCTGGGACCCTGGTTCCTCGCCTGTCCCAGCTCCAGATTTGCTGTGGGGAGCACCCTTGTGACAGTTCTGCCCGTAGCGTGTCAGCAGCTCTTCAATAGTCATGGTTGCCTCTTCATGCAGCAGTGCAGCTTCCTCATTGTCCACTGCAGGTAAGAGGCTAAATCAGCGCCCCCATGCCAGACTCCTCATGGGTTTAGTCCCTCTCACTACCTCCACTGCCCTTGAGCCTAAGTATCAACTTCCCCACCACTTCCTACTCTTAAGGCTCCTCTCACTTATCAAGTCTCAGAAAAACATCCCTTTGCTTCCTTCTCAAGTAACATCTGCCTCCATAGACTTCCTTTGGTCTTTGTCTTTTACCCCCTTTAGTCAAAAGTACACCAATTACTATATTTTCCTTATCACCTCTCAATCTTTATTATAAGTTGGAGGAAGCTCTATGCTGGCTGAGGACCTAGGAAACCCACAGTGCTAGTTTAGGCCTATAGCCCAGGCTTAATGACTGGCTGCTGGGGCTAATGACAGCTCTGGTCTTGAAAAAAGGTGACACAAACATTAATAGGAATCAGAAAGACCCCATCACAATGACCAAAAAAAAAAAAAAAAATGCATATAAAAATGTTTACAACTACAGCACTAGGCACTCAACAAAGGTTAATTCTTTCTCTTTTCCATAACCAAATGTGGTGCTGGAGAACACAGGGTTTTTTTACGTGAGGACTCTCCAGGTTCCTAGGAAGTCATCCTCTCTTAGAATTTATATAGTAACATATACTAAAGAATAGTACTTTAAAATGTTTACTTCTTCTCAAACAAGGGAGCCATACTCACCATCATCTTCATCAGCTACTTTTTCTTTTTCATCTTCATCCTCAGTGGGTCGCCCTGCAATCTGTGCTAGCTCCTTAATGACTTCCTCAGTGGTCAATTTGGCATCGATAGCCAAGAAGGCATCCTCCAAAGCCTAAATAAAAGCAAAATAGTATGAGGCAAGTGCAGGAAAAAATATAGCAGGTATAAAATGAATTGCCTATATACAACTCTGCTTACAAGATTGGGATGCAAACTAGGGTGTGATCCGCCATACTACGAGACACTCATATATAAATAAAAAATAGTTAGGAGACCTGGGAATAACAAAGCAGCTCTAAAATGGCCCAGATGGGAATAAACTCGTT